CAAAGGAAGGTGAGCATACTTGCAGTGAATTCTCGGTCCATTCCCATGCAGGACTGATGCCTCTTCCAGAAATCAAGGAGTACATCGATCTGTACGGTGCAGCAACGAAGAACGCCGTCCGTGCCGGTTTCGACGGCGTCGAGGTGCACGGTGCAAATGGCTACTTGATTGATCAATTCACCCAGGATGTTTCCAACACCCGCACAGACGAGTACGGCGGCTCGGTCGAGAACCGGGCCCGATTCGCGCTTGAAGTGCTCGATGCAGCGATCAAGGTGATTGGCGAGACCAAGGTTGGCATCCGGTTCAGCCCATGGGGCAATTTCAATGGTGAGTCCGAGTGATGGCGGAGGCAATATTTGACCCACTGATGACCTTGTGGTATAGGTATGCGTATGGCAGACCCGAAACCTGGTTTCAGCTATCTTGTGTCAGAGATCACAAAACGATGGCCATATTTGGCCTATATCCACGCGGTTGAACCCCGAGCGGAGGGTAACCGAGACAGAGTAGTCAGGGAAGGAGAGGTACTACGGTTTCCCGGTTAGTGACGCCTGGATAAGCCCCCACTGATCGTTCTCTAGTCAAATGACTTCCTGCGGAAGATCTGGGGTCAGCAGCCGTTCATAAGTGCTGGTGGCTACAATCGCGAGCTTGCCTTAGAAGCTGCCGAGACGAAGGGTAACCTAATCGCTGCCGGTAGACTATTCATCTCGAACGTAGGTCGGCGACACATGCTGGTAGTCCTACATGGCATTTACGATGTTATGCTTTGTAGCCTGACTTGCCGGCACGATGGCAGAAGAATATACCCGCCGACAAGGGCGATCGTTCGACATACTACGCCGTTGAAAGCCCGCAGGGGTATATCGATTACCCTTTCGCTGACGGTTCGGTTGCCCCTGAGCAGTTCAAAAGGATCTCTAACAGAGTGTAGATGTGTAATTTTGATCTAGTAGGTCTTATTTTGATATGTGAGATAGATATACATGAGCTTACAGTGTTTTGCAGATTAATATTGCTTGACTTGACCGTGACAGTAATCCGAGGGGAGGAAGACGCCCGGTACATTATAGGGCCACTCCTTGGGACACCTGATTAATATTCGCTTCCCCTTCGTATGTCTCTCGCATATAAATATCAAATAAATCGTATTATATTACTACAACATATTAAATACCTCAGTGTAAAGCTGCAAGGCGAAAAGACGAAAGCTGAAGTCAAGACAAAGGACACAAGACGGAGGTGGTCCAGTGACTGATGTGACAAAAGTGATGATTTGTGACTTGTACCAGCAGTCTTGGCGGACGCGGCGGTCACGCGGCAGTCAAACTTGTCACGCCTCAGCCACGCCTAAGCTCAGTAGAATCATCTCTGATGTATTCTAGCTCGACACTTAACAACTGAGCACTATGCGCATTTTTTACATGAATAGAGCATAAATTCGAGTATTCGCGAATATTTCGCAAATTTTAGGCTGACTGTGCGACTCTGATGACGATCGCAGCATCACTGAAATCGGCGCGCTTGATAATTTTCGAGGCTTTTTGCTCCCCCACCTACGCTACAATCACCGGACGGCTCTGAGCTCCTAATGGCATATAGATATAGATGTATTGTATACAGTAAAGTGGTAGTGATAGGCCCTACGGGCTGTGCGAGGGCAGAAAGTGGAGTGTCCCAAGGAGTGGTGCTGTCCCAAGGAGTGGTCCTACACTGTATAAGCGCCTTTCATCAATTGGTTCGGGACTCTCCGAGCTGCATGACAACGTGGCCTGGCATAAGCAACCCAAGCAGTCATCGTCATCTAGCGTGACCATTATCCATAGTAAATTCATATTAATAATTGTACACACAGTCTTGGTAGACTTCCATTTTACGTGAATTTAAAACAGGTAGAATTTACAGCTGAAGATATGCTTCCAGTACCGACATCACTTTCTCGAGGCATGATTACACTGAGGCCCCGAGGACCTCGATAAAGAAGTACTGAATAGCATGTGTGTTATTTTCATATGTTTAACATTAAATTTCGAGGTATCCAAAGACGAGCAACACAAGCAGGTAGAGGAGGAGTCGCTCGTGCGTTTATCGAAGGGAGGTGGTCCCTTGACCGTGACGTTCCTTCCCTTTCCCTTCCTTCCCCGCCTACGGTCAAGCTTTTCGTAAAACGCTGTAACAAACCGCCAGAAAATGTTCGCATAGTAGCGCGATCAGGCCCTAGCGCAGTGACGTCGTTTCACGATGCGCACCATGAGCGTCAAAGCTTTTGGTCGGGTGGCGCTGGCGTTCACACTTAGCAGGAGACTGTTACCCCCATTGAACAGGCATCATATGTGGTGGTTTACATTTATGAGCAGACCCTGCGACGGCATGAGTCGCTTCTGTGTGACCCGCTGGCGTGTCGTTCCGCTGCCAAGCTTGTCATTTTTACATGCGTCTTCGGACCGCTTCTCATGTACGGAGCATACTGCCTGGCAACACACCGACCTTCTGGCAAGATATAAGAAAGCTACAGCCGAATGACACAGCCTACTGCATCTTCTGTAAGCTCAACCATCCCACTTGATTTGGGTCGCCATGAAGCTGCTCAATGTTGTATGAAAGCATGGGAAGGAGCAGGCAACAGTACTAGCAGTAACTTGATAATAGAAGAAGCTGAAGACAATGATGCTGTCGAAGAACGGTGTGTATTTTTGTTCAACTAACTGTGAGTATATGTAATATGCGGCAAACATGTGGGAAGAAGGAAAGACTCGGATGTGGCATGAGCGAGGAAACTAATAGGCCTGAGCCAGCGAAAATAATTATACAAGGCGCGCATTTGATAGTCACGTGCGAGCACTTGTGAACTGTGAACTGACCAGGTTTCAAACGTCACGCATCATAGGGTGTGAACTGTTGGTCGAAGCGGTACAGTAATCTCCGGATGGATGTCGGCCTACTCTTTGATTCCCGAGTGGAGAACAACGTCCTTAAGCGCTCTCCGACTCCGAAGGCAGTCGTCGGCGCTAGTTACGAAAAGCATTGCCGGCTGCTAACTCAGCAATATGACCGATGCAGCATTGCGCAACCCACGTCAAAGATCTCGCTTTTGTTTCCGTTTCTGTTTTTCTCTTTTCTTGTTCTTTTTTCTTTTTCTTTTTTCTTGAACTCCATGCTCTACGTCTGGCATGGGCCTATGGTAGACGATCAACCAGAATACGTACTATACATGATGCTAGGAATGCAGGTGAAGTCATCATTGAGTAGATAGTAAGTAACGAGTATCCATCTTGAGCACTGTCTGCTAACGCTCTCCGGTTTTAGAGCTCTAGCGCGTTGTGAAAGCGCTGCAGGGCTTGACTGGCAGGTCATAATTGCGTTGCATCATGATAGCATGAGCAATGCGAAAGCCAGTTTAGCTCATCACGGTAGTGTCACCGAGTGAGGCTGACTACGTACGATTAGTAATCTTCAGAAGTCTGGCAGTATATAGCACTAGTGCGTTCTGCTGCAGTATGCCGCCAGATACATCCTCACAGAACACATCTCTCTCAGCCATGTCTCAACCAAAGCTCTTCACACCTATCATGGTCGGTGACGCGATACTACAGCACCGCGTCGTGATGGCCCCGTTGACGCGCTTCCGCGCAACCAAAGCGCATGTCCCGACGCCACTCATGGCCGAGTACTACGCACAGCGCGCCAGCACGCCCGGCACACTCATTGTTAGCGAGGCGACCTTCATTGCTCCGCAGGCGGGCGGATATCGACACGTCCCCGGCATCTGGAACGACGAGCAAGTTACCGGCTGGAAGCGTGTACGTCTGCTCTCACGATAGCTAACCGCCCATCGCTAGTCTATAATCACGCGATTCTACAGGTCACAGACGCCATCCATGCTCAGGGATCTTACATATATCTGCAGCTGTGGGCTCTCGGGCGGGCAGCCGATCCAGACCTCCTCCAAGAGGAGGGTGGATATCCGTACGTTTCTGCGTCCGACGTGCAGCTGTCGGGAAAGCCCTTCCCGCCGCGTCCTTTGACGAAGGAAGGTTAGCATACTTGCAGTGAATTCTCGGTCTATTTTCATGCAGGACTGATGTCTCTTCCAGAAATCAAGGAGTACATCGAGCTGTACGGTGCAGCGGCGAAGAATGCCGTCCGTGCCGGTTTTGACGGTGTCGAGCTGCACGGTGCAAATGGCTACCTGATCGACCAGTTCATCCAAGATGTAACGAATACGCGCACAGATGAGTACGGTGGCTCGGTGGAAAACCGAGCGCGGTTCGCACTCGACGCGCTCGACACAGTTATCAAGGCAATCGGCGAGAGCAAGGTTGGCATCCGGCTCAGTCCATGGGGTAGGTCCAACGGTGCGTGCAACCCCGTCGGAGGCAGTACTCGATCCACTGATGGCTGTATGGTGCAGGTATGCGTATGGAAGACCCGAAACCTGGGTTTAGCCACCTTGTTTCGGAGATGGCAAGACAGTGGCCATCGTTGGCATATATTCATGTGGTTGAGCCCCGTGTGGAGGGTAGCAGCGATAGAGAGGTCCAGGAAGGGGAGGTGAGTTTCCCAGTCCGCGGCGTCTGGTCAACCCCCCGCTGATCGTTCTCTAGTCAAATGACTCCCTGAGAGAAATTTGGGGCGAGCGGCCGTTCATCAGTGCCGGTGGTTACAATCGCGAACTTGCTTTCAAAGTCGCTGAGACGAAGGGTGACTTAATCGCTGCCGGCAGGCTGTTCATCTCGAACGTATGTCGGTAACGCATGCTCGAAGTCCTGGATAGTATTGACCATCTTATGATTTGCAGCCTGACTTGCCGGTACGATGGCAGAAGGATATTCCCGTCGACAAGGGTGATCGTTCGACATACTACAACGTCGAAAGCCCGCAGGGATATACCGACTACCCCTTCGCTGATGGTTCGGTTGCTCCAGAGCGGTTCAAGAAGCTCCCTAACTGAACGTACTAGATGTATAGCCTCTATCTAATTAATCTTAATCTTGATACATAGATATAGATTGACTAGATGAAATTTCAGAAATCGCCAGCCTGACACGTTAACTGACATCGTTTCACGACACCTTCGGTTACCATTTACGGCCAATATATAAGCGTCTATATGTAAGGTGCAGTAATTAAGTGTAAGTGAGTGTAAGTAAAACTAAGTAAGCGTAAGTAAGTGTAAGCAGGTACGAGGTTAACTTGTAAGTTAGGTAGCCTCTTAGTACCGCGGACATTCGGGTC